AAAGGGGGCGTACTAATCTAATAAGGTGTTTTCGGAACAAGGAGTATCGTAAAGAACGAACTTCCAGGTCCAGTTCATTCCAATGACTTAAACAATAGGGTATAAAGGATCTACTAAACCTATTAGTAAATTGTAACGAAAGTCGAAAGTCGTTACTATTTCTTAAATTGTACAGAGTGGTTTGAGAAATTTCAGGGGGGATTAAGTCAAAAAGATATCTCCGTGTTAGGCCATTAACTATTTTATGAAATAAAAATAAGCGATGAAAATGCCGTCTGCTAGAAAGAGACTCCCAACCCAGTTCTTGACAAACAGATAAGTAAGAAGAGCCTTTAACTGCTCCTGAGACGATAAGAGAACATTCATATTGGATTCTTTCAACAAGAGCGGAGTCTTCAGCAGTACAGCCATGCCAGATCACATCTGCATACTCCAAACAGGGACGGACAAATGATTTATAAATGGCCGCACGTGCTTCTGCGTGCTGTCTACGTGCAAAAACGTGGGCAAACGTAGGGCATCCGTGCGTGGTGAGTACCGCCTCCGTACGGAATCCTACGGATTTGGGATCACGCAGACACGCCGTAGAAGTTTAAGTGCATGTAAAACTTTTTCTACGTGTGGTCTTCGGATTCACCACCCGTGCGTGCGAGTTCAAGCGACGCGCGTGCCCCGTACATGTAGCGTATAAATAACGAATTTAGTGCATAGATTGCATTTGACATCCGTATGGCGTTCACATGCATTGCGAACGCCAAGCGTATTCCGGACGCACTCAGCGTATGCCCACCAGATGCCTAACGCACTTCCGACGAATGCCAAGCGTCTTGTGGACGTATTCCCCGCTGCTTCCTGCTGTTTCATTCGCAGCGAGTCATTCATGGGCCGCCCTCAACTCAGATAAAATGTGTTTGTTTCCATTTCGCCCTAGCCCTGGTCACTTTCCTGTAATATCTCGTCAGGTAAATTAAATACACGTACACGGACTTTATACAATTTGTAACAAACATAACAGTTAGACTGTTGATAGCATTGATGAATTGGGGATGGCAAGAAATGCCCTCCCTTAATAATTTGAAAACACCCATACTTGAAATACAGACAATTTACAATTGCGCATACGCACAGATGCATGTAGCATGAACACTACACATATGTGCGATCACTACAATCTACCGATCCAAAAACAGGCAACTGGTTCATTATTCCAACAGGCAACAAAAAGCAAATATTAATGTTAAATTTAGATATATTGATGCGGTATGGGCATGGAGGCGGTACGTACAGGGTGTTCTATTATGTTAAAAAGTGACAAAATGCATTTTTGTAAAACAAATTGCACTCTAGGAAATACAGTTTCCCGAAAATCATCTACTTTTCATCAAAACATATTAGAAAGAGCCAATCATAACATATTAAACATATAATTTTTTTGTCACATCTTACGTAAAATGCTTCAGGAGGTCTGTTAACCATGAGGTCCAGAGGAGCCGGTACCCCGGGTGTTGCCAAGGTGTTCGGCAATTCGCTATCTAGATCGGTACGCAACATTTGCGCTTCTCATTAGTTACAAATACGTACAATGCGCTGTCCTGTTGCAATACGAACGGTGCTAAAGCGCCATATGTACGCAATGCATTCGTCCATTGTACGCAGCTTATGTACAGGTGCAGTTCCAGGTGCAGATCAGCGTATGAGCCGCTTGTCCCCCACGAAGACATAGCGTATTCATCCCGTGCTTGGCCGATGTATTACATACATTGTATTAAAAACGCACGAACTGCGTAACAGCGTACGCAGCGTAGGTTTGGGCATGCTCAAAACTACGCTGCGTACTGAGCCGGGCGGTGCGTGTGCTGTGCGTATGCCGGCGTTCACAAAACATACACAAAACGACTGAGGTGCACATGAATTTCGCAGTTTGCGTACGGCTGCGTATGAAAAAAATGTCCGTACGTAACTCATACGCAAGTCTATTCGCAGAAGTGTGACAGGGCCCTTACACCTTGCAAAACCGTGCGAGTGACGTGCGTAGACGCCACTCCTTCCCTACGTTTTCAGAAAAAACGTAGCAGACGTAGCCTCCCAAAAAAAGGACGGAGAAAAAGCACGTACGGCGGGTTGTGACCGAGGCTTTAAATGGGTCTTTTTTGCTATGCCCAAAGAACAGAGCTAGCAATGCTGTAAGGTAGCAGCACACCTCCGGGGTCTGTGACGCGGGTATAGAAAGTAGTACAGCGAATATTCTTGAAGGCTGGGTAGAAAGCCTGATAATTGACGTAAATTGCGCTGTGTGGTGTAGGAATGTATCGGGTTTGAGACTGTATGATTTAAATTGTGAAGCTTTTGCACTTCGTGTATAAATGCGCCGTATTACGCAACTGGCTTTCCGGGTGAGTCGGCTGCAGTTCAGGTCACGTCCGTAGAGGGCATTTATTTTGGTACTTCTTTTTTAGATAATTTTTTTTCCTGGGCAAATTTTGCTCAGAAAGGCCCCGTTTTCTGGTAAGAAGGACAGAAGATTGTATATTTTTAAGATATGGCGAAAAAGTGTGACATTTTTTATGGTTTGACCTGTTATTGGCCTCTAAATACTTGTCATCTTGTTACCTGCTATTAGCTGCGTGTATCAGCAGATGGCTTGGGGGTTTGATCTCCCCTTTGTGTATTTGAGGATTACAGGCAAAACAGATGAGTTTTTAATAGCCCATCGTCTGTCAACAGCATAACTTGAGAAAGCTTAGATGGATTATCTTGATATTTGGTAGGTGGGTAGGTCTTGATGAGACCTGAAAATGATTAGACTTTGGACCCCCTAGCGGCTTGTTGTGGTACTGCAGCTGAACTTCCGGTTTTGATATCTCATGATCTACACATGCTGGGGTGACGAAATCTGGATGGTAGGTAGCTCTTTTGCTGGGGAAGAAGTGGCGTGAGCTTGGGTCCCCTAGCGGCTTGCTCAGGAACTGCAGGGCTATCTGTTTGAAAATATTCAAAAGAGAATAACTCAAGAACCGGTGGACGGATCGTCGTGATTTTTGGTATATAGGTAGCTTACGTTGGTATAATTATGCGGCAATTATGCAAATCTGGATGTAATGTGCATAATTAATGGAGAAATTCTATAAATCAGCTGCATTACATTATAGGACAATTCAAGGCTTGTGACATGTAATTGAGAACGAGAGAAACACAGGCAGATATTGATTATGTAAATTAACACTTAATTTGCATAATTAATGAGAAAATGTAATAATTCCATAATGCTAACTGCCTGGAATTTCATACTTGGGGTTGCTGGTGTCTTTTCCAAATTTAAAGTGACCAATGTTACTACAGTAACGTACGGACCTCCCACGACGCCCTTTTCTGAACTTGATCTTCCTATCGTCAACGGTAACTTGCTCAGCAAAAATCGTGAACATCCATTTGCAGATTCACGACTTATCCCGCTAACAACAATAACGACCACCACAAAAGGTCAAATTCAATGACATGGGAACCCCCCACGAGGCCCATATCCGAACTTGACCTCCGTATTTTCACCGGCGACTTTCCCACTGAACATCATAGACAACCACTTAAGGATTCCCGAGTTATCTGACGAACAACAATAAACGCAAACACAAAAGGTCAGCTCCAGTTACGTAAGAACCCCCCCCCCCACGAACCCCCCCAAGAACCCCCCCCCCCCCATTTCTGGCCATCACAATGCCCATCACTTAGACAACCTGCCTGCCAAAAATCGTGAACCACGGACCATGCCTTCAAACTTAATCTTGCATAATCTGCAAAACAGTGCAAAAACGATTTCATTGCCTTCTGTCGAAGGCAACAAGATAGACTTTGTTGTCTTACCTGGATTAGAAGCTGATATGTATACAGAAAGCGCCAACAGAAGTAGCCTCATCACGTACATCTGAATCCAGAACTCACCACACTAACATTAACGTTAAAATTATGCGTAGAAAGCGACCTTGGTTTAGACCTGTTGAGTTGTGGAACTTATTAAAGCCTGTGCTACGGAATGCGAGTCTGCTCTAATTTGAGCCTGGCGTCTGGAGGTCGTTACAAGTTTATCCTCTTGGGTTTACAGCGGGCACTTTGTCGCGGTCCGTGTAGAATATATGTCTCTGTCAACCAGATCATGCAGAGGACATTGCAGTCGAGTTCTTGGCATTGACCTACGCTCTAGGGTTATCGTACTTTACCCAGCTGTTCTCACACGTCATGTGTCGATGTACACTGGCCGGTGTGGAGTTTCAACAGTGGTAACGTTTTTCCTCACGTCATATATACATGTACAGGCGATAGGAAGGGTTTTTTAATCAATCTAATCTGTAGATGAATCATATACTTGTAGTGATAGCTGGACATGCAATGTATGTGTAGCAAAGATTGATTGGGCTTTTATTTCTCAATAGTTATTACAATGAAAGTGTCTGAATACCTATCGCAGAATTGCTGGAAAAAAAACTAGATTAAAGAGGGTAACAATGATCAATAAAAATAGCTCACGGTATAATTTCGTAGTCGGTACATGTATCTTCTGTATCTGTGACACGAGTCCAAACAAATGGACAATTGCGCATTGGGAATGAACCTTGAGCTGTCAATAGACTTCAAGCTAATCTCTAAGCAGATGTTGGGGCTGAGGAACGTTTTCTGGGTGGGTTGCTGTCATAGAAGCTCGATAGTCAGAAAACGTTACAATCCTCCACCCAACATCTGCTTGGAGATTACCCGGCCCCGGAATCACCCCCCCCCACACACACACACACACACCCAACACCACAGCTCGTCAGCACCAGAACTAGAAACGCGTGGCCGCCAGTATCTGTAGCCCGCAAAGAACTGCAGTCAAGCCGACGGTGTAGAGGCTCCCCCTAGCGGCAGCCCCTGCATCCGTGGCGGGCTTGGTCGTGGCCGGTTTGTCACAGTGGTCCGTATACTCCCCCAGACAGGCTGCGTACATCATCACATGGGCGATGTAGTGTTGCTCCTGCCAAGAAAACAAAAGAAATTATTTTCTACATGAAAACAAAACCAGTTCACCAATGTCCATGTCCTTGGTGCTGAATAAGCAATCGAGTCGAAGTAACAAAAAACATCGCGTTGCTGGAATCCCATACTCCTTTCCGACGATAGCTTTAGGAACTTAGAAAAGACGTAAAAAAAAGAGCAGACAGTGCAACTTTATCTCGCCTTACCCTTGTCTTTGACTTTGAAAACGGCACATACTTCCCGGACCTGGCAAAATCACAACTATACCCGGTATTGCAAGTGCGCTTTGAACAAATTGTATAGGAAACTGTTTTTGCATGCCTTCAACTATTCATTGCAAATCTATCAACAGTGTAAGGAGAACACTCAGACGTAAGTGTGCAACTTCCTCTACACTACATGTACAGATGAAGCTGTACTCTCCTGACCTGCACGCCGTGGAACAGGTGTGCCATGGGTCCGTCCGCCATGATGATGACGTCTTCCCCCGCGTGCGTCGCACTCTGGAGCGGGACGGCGCTCTGTTGTCTGTACTCCTTATCCGCTGTACATGATAGACAGAGTTCTGACTTCATTTTCTGTAAGACTCAATGTACAGAAGCCTTCACAGTAGAGACAGAAAAAATAGGAATATTAGAAACCACAATCTTCCCCCACCAACCTCTGCTTGGATAGTATTCTATTTGACACGAGGAAGGTTTCAGGTCAGAAACGTTATTTGGAAAATTCAAGCATGGTCAATACTCATTTTCACATGAGTTAAGTGAGGAAAGTCGCGTAAAGTGCCTTTCTCAAGGGAACAATTTCCGTCTCGTAAACGGTCGTCGCCTTTCCGAACGGTCGTCGCCTTTTTTCAGAACGGTCGTCGCCTTTCGGAGCGGTCGTCGCCATTTCCGATCGACCGAACTTCAGTTCCGAATATCCGCGACATGTTCGGGACTTCCCCGAGTTCTTTGAATGTGTGAAATCACACTTCCTGAAGATAACATCGCGACCGAAGACGGGCCAGAACTTGGCTAGGTGGATTGAAGTTGCGTGGGTGCTAGTACATGTATTATAATTATAAGTTCCGGGGGTTGAATTATCTAGGTTAGAACTAGGTTAGTGTTTGAGAAATTCTCGATTGGAACGGGAAGGGTTTGGGTAACTCTGAACTCGAATGTCTCTGGGTATTTATTTTTCTTGTATGTGAACATGTCCTCTCCCTTTTTTCTTTGTTTCCTTTTGAAATGCGAATAAACATTATTTGAAAAAAAAAAACCTCTGAACTAGAACGTTTGTACGTTTTCATACATTGCTGAATTTGAAACGGGGATGAGAAAAACTCCACATGTATTTTTGGAACAGCCCATTGTGCGAGCATGTAATTTATGAATGCTGCAGGATAGTCTGACTCAGAAACATTCATTCGGAAGCACCATCACACATGCAGGCATTTACTCTGACCAAGGACATTATGTCCTGACTGACTGACTCACAACTCCACCACAGCCGGGTTTTATTTTGTTGTCTCAGTGCTTGCCCAGCATAGCAGGCCATTTCACACTTGTCACCAGCATGGCATTGATGTGCTACCCAGTGAATGTGTCGTATTTACATACAGTGCAGTGGTGAATGTGTCAGGTATTAACATTCAGCAAGGTAACAAAACATAGACATTTCGGGATGAAAATAGCTTTACAAGTTTGTCAAAACTCCTGTCAAAGTAAGACATTGTCCCCCTTCTAAAACAGCAGGTCCTTTATTAATCCTACATGAATTTTACATAAACGAAAGGAATACATACCACAGGGATTGAGAAATGTAGCACAGGGACGGAATCTATGTTTGTTTTTGGTTGAAGATTCATTTGTCATTTGTATAAACGGCATTATATGAACCCTTCTTCAGTTTGTTGGCGAAGGGAAACAAGAATAGGTTGGACTCTCCAGGCCTAGGATCGTATGCTGATCTTATAAAATCAGCAGTTGAGGAGACAAGTTACTTTTCTGGCCCGCCTACGGTCGCCTTGTTATGGACTGAGTGCGATTCATACATTCCAAGAACTCCGGGAAGTCCCGAACATGCCGCGGATATTCGGAACTGAAGTTCGGTCGCTCGGAAATGGCGACGACCGCTCCGAAAGGCGACGACCGTTCTGAGAAAAGGCGACGACCGTTCGGAAAGGCGACGACCGTTTACGAGACGGAAATTTGCATCGGCGATCATGGTAGGACACACGAACCCGGGAGCTCTTGGTTCTGAGTCTGTGTCGAGCACTCTGCCGTTGCGCCACACGACCCCACACTCCAGACAGCCCGTACCTGTATTGACGTCGGTGATGTTCTGCCGTGTGACGTGCGTGGTGTTCCCCCGGGTGGTCTCCGCCAGCCCGTACCCGGCGCCGTTCCCGTACAGCAGGGTGGTGTACGGCAGACCGTCCCAGGTGTAGTCAGGATTGGAGTATTTGTACACGTTTTTCCCTGAAACGGTGATGAACATGTGGTAATCAGAGATCAGGCAGCCTTCAACAAATTGTGTACACACAGATAGACTGAGGGACGGACTAACACACAACGCAAAAATAGCAGTGATATATTTGGTATGTTAGGAGTTGCGGAGACAGGCACAGACACTCACACCCGACACCCGTATACTGTCTTATAATCGTCCCGAACATTGGGTGTCCCCAAACAAAATATGAAGTTAAACCATACCAAATATGGAGTTGAACTATCTCAAATATGGGGTTGAACCATACCAAATATGGAGTTGAACCATACCAAATATGGAGTTGAACTATCTCAAATATGGGGTTGAACCATACCAAATATGGAGTTGAACCATACCAAATATGGAGTTGAACCATACCAAATATGGAGTTGAACCATACCAAATATGGAGTTGAACCATACCAAATATGGAGTTGAACCATACCAAATATGGGGTGTCCCCTGTCAGGGTAGCCCGCAAACGCCAGTGTGTGGGAGTGGTCCGCCGTCACCACAATCAGGCTGTCAGACGTGCTCAGCATGTCTTTAGCCACCTGTGGTGAAGAGAAGGAAACGGCGTTATGTATGCTCAACAGGATAGGATGTTTGCACCCACGTGACCATGACGTAAGTATTGTCGGCCATGATGGGTGGTTAAACCTAGAGGTTGCAAAGTAAATCTGAAGTTGTAAATGTAATTACAGTCATTACTTCATGATATACGTGCTGTCCACT